TCCATTTTTGGGCAGAGCCATGTGCTCAGCAAGGAGCTTCTTCCTGGAAGAAGCCCAAGCCTCTGCTAGCCACACCTAGGATTTCTTTAAACTAACCAATGATAATCAAGGGAAGTGCGCGCCATAGATATGACCACATCCTGTGTAACAAGACACCGACTTTCGCCTGGCCAATTGGCAGGGCCCACAGTTCTCTCTCCTCCCCTTACTCCAACCCCCCTATAAAACCCCTCTACCCACAAAGCTCACTCTCTCTCTGCCACTTGCCGCTGCGTCGGTAAGGAGGGTAGAGGAGCCAAGCCCGGGCTTGAATAAAGATTCTTATGCTTTTGCATCGGACATGGCTGGCTCCCTGGTGTGGTCTCTTGGGGATCCTGAAATCTGGACATAACAGTTCTATTGGGCAGTATTTATCTAGAGATTGGTTAGAGTAGAACCAAGAAAATTTAGTCTCCTGAAAGTCAGGGAAAACAGGGTTTCAAGGAGTAAATGACCAATGGTGTCAAGTGCTTCAATAAAAGCATATAAAGACCAAAAACAAACAAATAATTTATTTAGTGACTTTAAAGCAGTTTCAGACTAGTAATAAAGTTAGAAACTAGATTATAAGAGATTTTGGATGATGGGTGATAAATAAGTAGAGATAACAGGTGTAGACAATTCTTTCCAGTAAAGAAAAACAGAGAATGGAAACCTAAGGAAGAGTTCAAAGAGAATCGAACTGTGTATGTATGTACTAATACTTAATATAAGCATGTTTGTGGGCTCACTGGAAGACTTAGACACCAATTAACCAGCTATCCACCAACTTTCCCAATCAGAAAGGCTTTCATGTAGCAATAACAATAGAGGGTATATAATCATACAATTTTAAAGCTATGAGGAGCCTCAGAAATAATCTAATCCACGGGTCTCATTACACAGAAAGTAGAGGTGCCCATAACCACACAGCTCAGTAGTATTAAAATCTAGAATAAGACCTCAGATCTGCATGCGCCAGTTAGACATTTTACCTCATTCAACTGACCAGAGAAAAGGTGAAGAAAGCTTTTTATATTGAGTTTCATTAATCTAGCAAAAAAAAAAAAAAAAAAGAGAAATGTCTATGTTCACATATACAAAACTTCTATTTTTTATAAAGGAGACAGTTTTCTTCTTTAAAATTTAGAAACACAGGGAACAAAGATTTGAGTGTCTCCTATTTTATAACAAACTAGAGGCCCGGTGCACGAATTTGTGCATAGGTAGGGTCCCTCAGGGTGGCCTGAGGGGATCAGGCCCCAGCTTGAACCCCAGCCTTGAAGCCCCACAGCTCCGCTTGGCACCCCGCCGTGGCCTGGCACCACCCTCTCACCTGCTCCATCATCCTGCCTGTGGAGTGATCAATTGGGACTGAGGGGCCCCCTCACCTGGCTCCCTCAGCGCCTAGGAGCCAGACAGCAGCCCCACCCCCTGCCACTGCCACTGGTCGCAGTCTGTGGGGCAATCAGCGGGGCAATCAGGCCCCCACTCGCACCCACCTTGGCCTGGTGCCGCCCGCTCACCTGCTCCACCATCCCACCATGGTCCCATTCTCGTCGGGGCCCATTTTGGCCAGCAGCGCCTCCACTGCTGCCCACTGCCAGCACCGCATCACCGACACCCACCATGTTCCTCACCGCCCCCTGGTGGTCAGTGCACGTCATAGCGAGCAGTCGAACTCCCGAACTCCCAGTCGAACAATTTGCGTATTAGGCTTTTATTATATAGAATTACACTAAAAAGACTTTAAATATTACCTATCTAAATCTTTATTATAACCTGAGAGGTGTTATGTTTTTGCTGTTTCACAATCTAGAGATGTATGCATCAGATCAGGAAGGTAACAAAGCTAGTCACATTCTTGCTCAGTTCTGTACTCTAATCAATTTGGAAATGATGGAGAAAATGGGAGGACAGATGAATAGGCTCAGGAATGGAAATCAGATTAACAAAGTATAAAATCAACAAGAACCAATTCATTTATTGATGTTGATCTTAAAAATAAAGTCCCCAGCCTGGCAGCCCCGCTGGCATGGCTTAGTGGTTGAGCATCAACCTATAAACCAGGAGGACACGGTTCAATTCCTGGCCAGGGCACATGCCCGGGTTTCCAGCTTGATCCCCAGTGTAGGATATGTGGGAGGCAGCCGATCAATGATTTTCTCTCATCGTTGATGTTTCTATCTCTCTCTCCCTCTCCCTTCCTCTCTGAAATAAATAAAAATCTATTCTTAAAAAATTAAGTCTCCAAAAACAGCCCTTTAGATAAATCTTAATTAAACAAATGTTTCAAGAACCTCTAACATTGATTGCCTTTGGAGAGAGGAACTGGGTGACTGGGGACAGGGGTTGGAGAAAGACTTCACAGTCAACACTTTGTAACTTTTGGGTTGTAACCATAACAACCTATTATCTATTTCAATAAATAAATACGTCTTTTTGAAACACTTTAAATGTTTTAGTTCCCACCAATAGTTTGTAATAGCATTTGACAATCCTGTATGAGGCTGCAGAAAAATGGAAATTTCAGGTAAAAAAGTCATAATTTTCTGAAAAGGAAAGGGAAAAATCATGTAAAGGGGCACAAGACTTGCTTTGTGGGGCTGGGAATCAGGGACAGACACCCTTTGCTACAACAATTACTACAATGTATCTGATCAATTCCATTGCTATCATCTTTTTTTTTTAAGTATGTTTTTATTGATTTTTAGAGAGAGAGGGAGAGGGAGAAGGAAGAGATAGAAACATCAATGAGAGAGAAACGTCATCAACCAGTGCAGGTGCCCTGCTGGGTAATGGAACTAGCGACCTCTTGGTGCATGGGTCCAGGCTCAACCACTTAGCCACAGGTGGGCCCCTATCATCTTTAGCTCATCTTTCAGTCTGTTGCTAAGGAAACTTGTTGCCTAAAAGCAATTTACTAATAGGAATCTGTATGAAGCAAAAGAAAAGCAATGATTCTGAAACTTTCAAATTAGGCCATGCTAATTTAATCTATTTTGGTGCCACTTAATACATTATCTTCCATTTGTTATGTAGTGCTACTGTAATGTTGAACATCCTCCATTGTACCCTAAAGGAAATTGATCACTTGTAAATTTTTAATACGGAGGTCTTGAGTAACGTGAGAAAACATTCAAACCTGTAAAGAATTTTTGTGAGTTTATTTGGGCCAAATTGTCGGTAATTGACGGGAAGCAGGATCTCAACATATTGGGATAATGCTCTGCAGAATGGTGGTCTTTCTCCTATTTTATAACTTACCATCAAAGATTGAGACGTAAGTGGGTTACATGAAATCCATTGGGGATAGATTAGGGAAGTGAGAGAAAGCAACCTTTAACCGCTGGAATGGATAAAAAGTAAAATGATAGACACATGCTTCTTTTACATAGATGGGTATAGGATAGTTAACAAAGATTAACATGATAACAAAAATAAGGAAATATGTAGTCTGCACCCAGGTGCCATTTGTTGTGCCCTGAGGGATCCAGAAAAGGGAAGTTACAAGTTGCCCCGACATTCCACTGGTATGTTACCTTAGATGCAAAAAGACAACAGGCTCAGTAAAAACAGAAGTTGATCTTTGTCAGGGAAGATACTAGCCTAGAACATGACTACCCACTATGAACTTTCTATTTTTATTTTTTTGATATTTTTAAATTGATTTCAGAGAGGAAGGAGAGGGAGAGAAACATAAATGATGAGAATCATTGATTGGCTGCTTCCCTTTTTAATTGTTTTTATAAACTGCTTTTTAATTAAAGGTCTTAATTTCAGACCATCCTTTAGGTAACTTTAGGTCTCGAGTTTGCAAGGCGACCAGGCAGGACTTCCCTGAGTTAGTCAGGTTAGCATGTGGTCCCTTTTCATCCAGTCTGCAGACAGGCATACCTGAAATGGGGAGCCACAGTTCTGAATTCTGATTCTCTATTAATACTTGTCTTTTCTCCTTAAAAATACTGTGAATTCCACATAATTCCTGGCTAAGAGAATTTTTGTTTTAAGAGATCTTTGCAGGGCACAGGGAGAGGAAGACAAGGCTATTAAATATGTGAAAGCTCTGAACTAAAATTTCTATTTGGGAACGAGGTAAGAGGACTGACATTTAAGTGCAAAAAAGGGGACACTGGGCAGATCAGAGCACTGGGGAGGGCGGCGGGTGTTTTAAGGAGCGTGGTGTGAGCTGGGGTGCCAGGCGCAACCCAGTACAAGATACAAACCCGTAAAGAAAAGGTGGTAACTCAGTCTTCGCGTTTCTGCCCACTCAGTTGGAGAACCAGGTAACAACACACCGACTCATCGCTTTCCTAACTAGCGCGACGGGGAGCCGCAAGGACCCCATTCAAGCCATTCCGACAGAGCCAGCCTAGATCTGCCGGTTTCCACCCAGTCTGATTGCTGCCATCTACTCTGGCCCCGCGTCTCAAATTCGTCCAAACTAAAATCTGGACGATCGGCGATAAGATCGGCGACACAGCGGGTTATTTTCAGCTTTGAGCTCTTTTTCTTACATCTTTAATAAAAGTCCTTCCAATCCCTTACTTTCCAGGACACACAGACAATCGAGCAAACGGCAGCGGGATCCTAAGAAGCGCCAACGTGGCGATAAGTAGAAAACGAGGGGTCCAAAGTCCACCAATAAACTGGGCAACGCGGCCTACGCCCCGCCCACCACCCCTGCCAGCCAATAACCTTCACAAATCCTCTGTCACTCTCGCCCATTCTTGGGGCCCCTGCCGAGCTCTCCTCAGCTCTCATCGCCCGCTCGCCATAAAACCCTCGGTAATCGGGCCGCTCCTCGGCTTCGCCAGACATCGGCTCCCAGCGGAGACCCAAGACCCCCGAAGACAGGCTCACAAACAGCAGCGGGGCGAGAGCAAGGAAAAGGGCTGCCCGGGACGCCCACCGACACCTTCTGTCCCCTGTTTCCCTTGACCCGGAAGTGGTTCTCCCCTCCTCTCTCTCTCCCGCCCCCCGCCGCCGCCTCCTCTACAGTTACAATGGGAGGAGGAGGGCGGCCGGGTCTGGCCCGGCATGCCCTGGGCTTCCGGTGACCTCTGGCCCTTCCCTGTCGTATGCTGTGGCTTCCTAGCGTGCTCTCTCGCTCCCAGCCTGCCTTCCCTCCCTCCGGTTTTCCTGCGCACGCCAACTGGTGACTGTGGCGCCCGCAACCAGCAGGGAGGCGGTGGCGGAGGACACTCGTCATGGCTGCCTCTAAGCCCCT